AAAGTTTTGCTATATTTTCTGTAACAAAAGAAACACAAAAAGGAAAATATGTAAGTATTCGATCCTCAAATTGCCATAACACAGAGTTGACCTTGCGGTAGGCTTTCCATCCCTGAGGTCTGTGTCTTTCCTTCCAACTCCACTGAAGCTCCTTTAGCACTGAACTTTTTATTCATGCTTCAGACAGATGGTGGTGAGCTTTACTCTGTTAAATTACTGAAGCGGATACTATTATTATTTTGGTAGCACTGTCATCAGAACTAGAGTATAATAAAGAAAGTCACAATATAATTTTAAAAAATCATCACTTGAATAAAAGGAGAAAGAAATGTATGGCAGAGTAATTCTTAAAATGTGCTCGCTGTAGGTTGGGCTGACTCAGAAATGCAATTTATATTTTAATCATTTCCATAAAGGTCTACATTTCATTTTAAAAGCATAAAGCATAAAGCATAGCTCCACGTTCTGGCTGAGAGGATGGAGGTTGGGACTGTGGCCGTGTAGTACTCTATAGGAGTATTAAAAACCAGAACAAGTACCCATGGGGAGAAGAGAAGGCAGGGAGCCAAGGGTAACAGAGGAGCACAACAGTCCTGCTGGGAGGCCCAGTGGGAGCGGAGGGGCAGGAAGTAGCTGTTGCCAATTGCTACTGACACCACAGCTATCATCAGTTTTGATGGTTCCAAGGAACTGAGATCACTGTGTCTTATTCTACATGGATTTTTTTTAAAAAGTGATTGCAGTGGCTGAGAGTGTAATGTCATAGCTAAAGGCCAAATACTGAGTAATGTTCACAGCAAGAAATGACGACTGTTATTAAAATCATTAATTGTTGTCCTTGGATATTGCTTTTGTCAAGATAAATGTGCGGAAACGATTATGGAAGCAATTATTCACACCTTTCGATTTCACAAGTACGTTCGAACTGCTCTCTCTTGCTTTCTGCAGGAGTGACTGAGACTCAGTGCGTCTATGTAATGTCACTTATGACCAAGGCACAGCCTTCATTAAGGTACTAAGTATTCCCTTCCCTAACCAAAGAGGAAATAAAAGCTGACTCCTGGATGTTCTGGTTGTCCTTCCCTGCAATGGACAAAAGCTCCCACATGGTCTTCACTTACTGCAAATGTGGTGAGTCCTACTCATTACCTGAGATCTTTGTCACTGCTGCCCGGGCTCTGCCCTTTTCTCGGAAAGCCTTCTCCAGCAGTCAACCTCTGGACCCTGCCCCTTTCGCCTAAATCAGGGTAAACACTGACCCAAGCCGGATTTCTGAGCTCCTCCCTCCTGTGAGGTTAGCATTAGGATGCAGGGACTCCAGTCACTTACCTGATGATACTCGGTTTTTAAGGACATCTAAACGTGGGGGCTGGGGAGACATGCGTCATGTTGATATTTGTAGTTCTTGCACGAAGAAGCAGAGAAAAGTGACCTACAGAGAGACTAGAACGGGAAGCAGACAGGCTGAGAGAAGTCGAGACAGTTCAGGGGGAGGTAGGGCCCTCTGCCGCTGACCTTTCACTTCCAGATCCACCGTTTGCCTTTCCATTGGTGAAATTCCACTGGTTCCTTGTAAACACCCCCCACCTTCACCCTGCCTTTGACTTAACTGGCTGGGATTATTGGACAGAGCTGAGGAAAGCTTTTATTCTATGAACAGGGCATCTGTCACTGGTTTACAGGTCTTACCTCCTCTCTGTGACCCTTTGTTCTTACTGGTGGCGGTATTTACATGGAAACACCACTGAAATTTTTTACATACCCACAGGTGGCTGCCAAAAGCTTAGTGAGCACAAAGGGATCACAGACTCATTGCTTCAGGCCTCCTTTCCACCCAAATTCAATACTGTCTGTCCTAGAGCAAGTGATCCAGGTGGCAGGAGCCCTCGACTGGGAAGTTCTATCAATAGCTGAGAATATCACCACTTGAGATACTTACTAGAGATCTCGACGTTTGTTTTCTGTACAGGTCCTAAAAAGCCCAACTGATCTTATTAGTGCTATGGAATATGCTAATTAATTCATCTGGTCCCTCAAAGAATTGCCTTAACAACCCCTGGCTTAATTATGTCGGAGACACTGCATAGAGGCTCTCAAGGTTCCCTGTTAGTGAATGTACAAGAAATTGCCTTAATTAAGAGGAGCTTTCTAGCTTGTTTTTCCCCGTCCACTTTTATTATTTGGCTCTTACTGTTTCATTTTGGTTTTCATGTTTCTTTGTTATTGTTGTTTAAGGTTATTTTTATTGTTTGTTTTTGTTGTTTTGTTTAGTTTTGTTGTAGCTATACTTTTTATGGTGAATGTACTCAAATTACTCTTGAATAAAATAATAAACACATAATAGTGAAGTCAATCGTGAAAGGAGAAAATTCTTTTCAGGCTCATCCGCTTCACTGATATATCAGCCAGAGACGTGGAGTCACCATGAGATGAAACATCATTCAGACAAGAAGCCACTGGACTCTCGCCTACAAGGTTAGTGGCACCTCGTGCCTCCATGTGCCTGTGCCTCTTGCAGGGTCTTTATTCATATTTACAATTACTGAGCATTTACTCTTCACACAGGAACCAGAAATAAACAAGGGAAATTCCTTGAAATTGAGGAATTTTCAGTCAGTGGGAAGGATAGACATGAAGTCGGTAAACACAAGAATATAAGAAAGAACAAAATAAGGTCTAGGAACACAGACACCTTTGCGTGATACGATGGAGGACAGAATTGACCATGAAGGAAGAAAAGATGGAGAAAAACCAAAAGGACTTCAGGACATCCCAGACCCAAGGGACAGCCTGAGCAAGGGGGCAGCTGCCTGAAGGTTCATCTTTTGTTTGAGAAACAGTGAAAAGCCAATCAGGAAAGTCTTGATTTGTTAGAAGCCGGATCTATTTGGAAAGCCACGTCAGGGAGTTCAGACAAGTTATATCAGTTAATACACACTTCACTCATAAAGCGAAGTATTTGTCATTTCAAGTGCTGCTTAAATAAAAAATAATCTAAAGAGAAGGAATAAAATGTGGAAACTCAAGTTGAGATTGATGGGAATACAGGTGGAGAAAATATACTCTAGGCCTAAGTACTGAAACCGTTTGTTATCGTTGCTGCTGTTGTTGCAGCTCAACATGGATCCAGCCATGAGCTGAACAATTTCATGTTCTACTGAGTAAGCTGGACATTTGGTTTTTGCTGAAGAATCACCTGTTGTATCTCTTGTAAATCTGTGCTTGAGATCAGATGTCTCCAAGGTCACTGACCTTCTCCTCTGCTGTGCCCGATGATCAACGCATGTCTATACTAGCATCACACTATGGTTCTTAACCTTCCTGGAGTCATATACCATCTGAGAGTATAGAGAAACACACATATGCAGAGTGGCTATTTCTTTTGGTAGAGCAGAGCATGTGTAAATTTTTATTGCCATAGTGAGGTTGGTGTTAACTTATCCTTATTTTCACTAATATTTTATAGTAGACTTGTACATAATTAGAGCATCTATATTTAATGTTATAAAATCATCCATTAGTTTTCTGTGTAAAACTCTTTGTTTCTTATAAACTAGATTTAAGACATTTTTTCTATCATGTAGAAATAGTTCTTGATCCAACATGAAAAAAATTAACTCAAAAAATAATTTGTAGTTTTTGCCCCAAGAGCTGCTTCTTTTTCCCAGAGGATTTATATTTAGCAAACTACATTTCTTCTTGTCAGTGCATGTGTGACAATATGCTACAAGGAGACACATACCTAAAACTATCAAAACTAAGCTCCTGACAGCACATTTGTGTGACAGGGCAAATCTAGGTTGACGTACTGTGATAACAAAAACAACCCAGTCAAAGGGCCACAGGGCAGCTATTCTAACACCCAAAGGAGAGCACTTACAGTAGCACAAGGCAATTCTTACATGTCAAGATGGAGCCCGTAATTTTTAAAGGGAGATCATGTGATGGTCTTTCATTGCAATTTTTCACACGTACTCATTTAAAGGACACCTTATAGTATTGTATAAGCTAAGAAGCGGTGGAGCAGTGGGAAGTGAGGAGAGCAGAATTCCCCTGTCAAACAACTGGAAAGGTTGGATCGTAAATTCAGTGCAAAGGCATTTGCTCAACAATCAACTCATAGGGTCCTCCAAGGCCTTCTCTCTCACTGCGGCCACAGAGAGTAGACAGGTCTGCAAGAAAAATCAGTTCTTGCACAAACAAGCATCAAGAGTTTTGTGTTTAGTTTTTATTTATTTTGTTTTTGGAAACCTCATTGAAACAACAAACCTAATCTTATCTACCAGAAATCAGCATCACTTTTGCCCTTCTTAGCACCGTCTCTTGTGCAGCTGCCTTTGATCTTTTCTCTTAATAAAAATATATATATATATATATATTCCTCAGCAGGAAACTTCAGGGAAACTGGTTACCCAAGTGTTTGAAGGCAGATGTGAAGAACGACCAGTTCTTACAGAGAATCTGTGTGGTGATGCATTTGGGATGTACCCCAACAGAGAAGAAACTCCCGTCCAGCAGAGCAGAGATTGGAACAGGATGAAAACGTAATCTCATAACAAAACCCTGGGAGGCCCACTGTGCTCCCGCCAGCTGGGCCGCCAGTCTCCTGGAAAGGAAGCAAATAACTGGGGGGAGGGGTGCTTCTAGACTCCTGTCAGGGCCTGACTAAAAGGGATCAAGGCAGAAGGCGCTCTGCCCACTGTCAAATGCGCTATCGGTGTCACCAGGCTTCATGGGAATCCCCCGCCCATCATTCCTCACCTTGGAGACTCTCCAGCCGTAAATAAAAAAACATTCCACCCACAATCTATTATTTACAGGCCTGGGCTTCTCCAGGTTACTCGCTGGAGGCACCAGATGCTCGCTTCACCCCCTTATCTCTGAGTTCTTCCATGGACAGCAGGGGTTGACCAGCAAATAGCATTAAGTATGCAATCAGCACAGCAATTGTCTGCCAGTCGGACTCCTAGCCACTCAACTGTTGGAAACTGCCTCATACCTGTATGAAACAACAAGAGGTCTCTAAATGACAAGGGGAGACTTGTTCCCTTTCTATATGGGAGGGGCAGTGGAGCTGTATAAACATTCCTTTGACCAGAAACTGTTGACTTAGTATTGTACATATAGTTAAGGTTATTGATTTAATAAGTTAAATTATATTTAAGCATCCCCATCTACCCTAACAATCAGAGGAGCACACATTAGAAACGGCAAAAGTTGGTTGAAGCAGAACCAATGGATGGCGGAAGAAATGGTCCCTGAGAACACAGAGGTAAGGGGGTAAACACTCAGACTTAGGAGATAAGGGTGAAGGGTCTGGAGCTAGACTTTCTGGGTTCAAATTTGGCTTTGCTACTGGCTGCTTTATAAATTGAATAAGGCCTTTAACTTGTCTGGGCCTCAGTTTTCTCAGCTATAAAGTAGGGGTAATAGAAGTCCATGCCTCATTGGGTTGCTTTGAATGAGTTTAAATGAGTCTTTCCTGTGAAGTGCACAGCACCGTGCTTGGCACAGAGCAGCCCTGGGTAATCATTATTGTTAGAGAAGGTCGAGTTGGGAAAGCACAGAGATCAGGAGTATTTGGTTAAGAGCAAAGGACCGTACACACCAGAGAGACCCAGAGGGGATCCCTCTGTTACAGTCTGTGACAAATAATATTTGGTATTGGTAACAGAATTCCTGAGTACATCTGTGAAAAAGAAAAAAAAAGGTATTAAACTGCACAGAGTGTTTTGTAATCTGGTTTTTTCACTTGGTGAACATTTTTCGATGAAATTAAACATACAATTCATCCTGTGGCCATATCTTTTATTTACCACCTTCTTATTATCAGATACTTCAGTTCTTTTCAATTTGATATTAATAGATGTGGTGAGAAGAAAAATATCAATATTTAAAACAATCAAAAAAACATTAACCATAGCTATTTCCATATACTAGTGGAGATGGTTCTTTGTTTAGGAAAAGATCTGGCAAAGCCTCTTGGGGCATAAACAGTAACAATCCACTCGTGGTGGGAAGGCAGAGGAAATTACAGAGGAAGGTGAGCTGCCCTCAGAGCACAGTGAAAGGAACTGTGCCTTTCCCCCGCGTTGTCTGGGGACAGCAGGTGAGGCTTGGGGATGGAGGCTCCCCAGGAGAGCAGAGGTTCTGTGCTTCAGAACACAGGGCATGTGCTGGGCTCTATGGAGGACACACCAGCGTGGGATAATTTTCTAGTCACGGTGCAATTGACATCGACGTTAAAGCTGTCTCTGGGACCACACTCTACTTCCTGTTGGTTGTCCCTAGACATGATGCTCTCCAAACAATACATTTATATCCATGATAATATAGTGGATTGGAGGAAGAAAGTTGTCTAGGGTAGAGAAAAGTGAGTCATCAAGAGAAGTCAACAGACATTGTTTCTAGCAGTGAGATCTCAGGAATGCTACTGCACCACTCTGTGCATCAGTTTCGTCTCAAAAGGTGATAACGTCACTTATTTCATGGAGTTGAATGTAAAATTAAAATGTTTAGAAAATGACTGGCAACAGTATGTGCTCGATAAACATTAACTACAACAGTCTACTCCAGTGACTCTGCTGTGCACACCCGTGATTGAATGTAGTGTCCTGCAAAGTCACCAAAAGAATTCCTTATCAGAATAAATCAGATTCTTATTGTTCTGCAGATAGAAATGGAGACAAAGTCAACAATTCAAGCTAACACACAAACACTAGAACAAATATGTGATTAACTAAATATAGTATATAATCTTTCCAAATTCCTTTCTCTAAGGAAGTATCCATGTAGGATAAACACTGTGGAAATAAAGAATAGACTCTTACCATGCACCATTCACGTTCTACAGGCTTTGTGTCTGTATCCCTTGGTTACACGGGTTATTTTTGCAGCCAAGCAAAAATTACGCAAAAGAGGACTCCTACAATTTCTAGATCTATATCTAATTTTAATTGTTTTCAAAATGGAGTTTTTACTAATAAATATTAAGGACAATGTTAAATTTTATGCAATACATTCAATTTAATAAGGCAGAGGAGTAGCACCTTTTTAAGGAGAGCCTATTCAAAAAGTAAATATAGGCTTTGAAGAGTAAGTTTCACTTGTGCAGGAAACTTGGTTATGTAGAATAATTCATCCCCTAAAAGGGCCAGCTAACAAGTTCTGGTGCACTATTCTGAGGTTTCTGCATTTACTCTATTAAACATGAAACAACAAGTTGTGAAAAGTTTTTTCAGCCATTTATTCTTTCATTGGCTTCAAGTATTCATTTATCCACTTATCATGGGGCCAACAAATATTTATTGTGTAGCTACTATGTGCCAGAGACTGGGCACTGTGTGGAGATGTGCTTTGATTTCAGAGGGTTTGGTTTAACTGAACGTGAAGTTACACATAGGTGCTGCCATCCTTTGTTTATGCAGTGGGTTCTCTTTGCTTTCCAGCCATCACGAAGGAGGGCTGGGGAAGATTTCCACCCCATCACACAGAACGGACTGACGAAAAATCTTCACTGGGGACACATACAAGAAGAGAGAAAGTAGAAGCTCCATTCTTTTGTCAGCCAGCAGATGGGTGTGCCTGAACACACTATGGATGAAGGTTCCAGGGGAGAGCCCCTGACTATGTTGATCTCCCTTCTTACAAGGCAAACATGAAAACAACCTTGTCAATGTGTGTGTGCTTGTGCACTGTGTGTGTGTGTGTGTGCGTGTGTGTGTGTACTTGAAACAGAGAGAGAGGGTAGGGGTGGAAAAAAAGAGAGAAAGTTTGGCAGAAGTGAGGGTGTGGTGGTAATTAGAAACTGGAGAATTGGCCAGACCAGGTTAAGTTCTAGATGTTTCCATAGTAATAGCTCATGAGAAGTTTGGTTCAAGCACAGCCCCTCTTGCCAGAGGGAGGAAGCCTCCAGTCCTGTGGGATGCTGACCTTGGGTGCAGGCACTCCTGTAGAGAAAAGGAATAGTCTCTTCTCCCACTTTGCTCCTTTTCCAAGTAAACAAGAAACCCCAGGGTAATTTTCAGATAATTTGAGGCTCTCCTATGTGCCAGGTATTATGCTAGGTATCAAGGACCTCAGAGTAAATAAACTGGATGAAATCTCCTACTGTCATGTAACTTGCAGACTAGTGGGAGATAACAGACAAGTACAGTTAAGGCTACCTTATTAAGTATTATCTGAGCATAAAATCAATCTTGTTCAAAATGTGCAGGACAGGATTTTACATTATTTTAATGTGTATTAGAAAAAAATATAAGCACTACCTTAAATTTTTGCAGATATTGCTTAGGATGAGGCCAAAGGAGCAGTAAATTAAACAAATTGGGGGGAGAGGGATAGCTTATTAAAACATGTTAGGTAAATAATAATATAGGTAGACCTCAGATATAGCATCAAAAATTGTTCATGTGACATGTGAATAAAGTTCAGGAAACACCACCTCCTGAGACTGAATCCTCACAAAATCCTGTGAAGTAGGCATTAAGATACAATACTGTCAGAAACTGGCCTCAGAGAAATCTAGAACACTATCCAGTGCCTCAGGACCTGAAGGATGGACTGCAGTTCCACAGCCCTTATTCTCTCCATGGCCCTGTGCTGACATCGGGAATGTCAAAGATCATCACAAATTGTAATTCACATAGGATTCTCCCAAGTGCTAACCCTATGTAATCAGCTCTCTATCCCACAGAGCAACCTGGAGCCATCGGGCTGTGGCTCATGAAAGGAGTTGCAACTTGCTTTTTCCCTCCGGGAATCAACAGCTCAGTGTTAGTAGCATTTACTCTGCCTGTGCCTTTGCAGCCCAGAAACCTGAAGGCAGTTACCTCAAAATTCAGAAAAATACCTACTGATAATAGGTGGTCCCATGCAGAGGTTTTCCACCCTAGGAAATATCAGAATAGAGGAACTAAATATGGGCTGAGAGAAAACTGCTGAGCTGGCTTCTACTGTGGAAGTCGTTAACCAAGTTGGATTAGGAAACTCTTCCAAAGCCACATCTGCCCTATTAAAGCTTTAAGGGCCACATGCCAAAGTGAAAATTAAATAAAGCAACAAAGAGACTGTGCCCAAATGAATTTGGTTTTATTTTTGCCACACAGACTCGGGCTCTGCACTATACGGCAACCACAGAGAGACTTTGCCAAGTTGTGGCGGTTTCCCAGAATGCATTAAAAACTCAGGAAGTCTCCGCCATCTCTGCTAATGATGTTTGCTACTGGACCATAAAATGGCTTCTAGTCTGACTTTCATGGAAAAGCCCGTTTAGTGAAAATTTCATCAAGCAATGTGAAATTTGTACATCAATTTCAGTATAGGCTATTAGGCATGGCTTAAAATTCTGCAACAATAAAGGTTTCAAAATGCCTGTTATTCCTGTCTTAATTGCCTTTTTTCCTTCCAATATTACTAGTATTTCATCCCATGCAAAAAAAGCCTGTGTTTCAAATTTAGTAAAGGACAAAGGACACAGCTCCATGGAATTAGATGATACGTACATTCAAATGCCGGTATGATTGCAAAGGACTTTTCCTACTCTGCTCATTGCCAATGGAAAGCAGTATGAGAAAAACTTTAGCCTTAGATAAGCTTTATTATTGCCAAGTTGCTTCAAGTGTTGAAGTTTATTTTAAAATGGTTTTCTTATTATGAACATAACTTTGTATATCTCCACCAATTTTGGAGGGTTGTGAATCTGAATCATGGAATATTTGTTCTGCCTTACTTTGCTTCTTGCATCTTTTTTTTTTTCTTTCAAGTATATGCAGAAACTCAAGGCAGACCCAAAATATTCCTAAAAACCTGTTTCAATGAATAGGAATAATGAAAATGATTTCTAATTAATACAACAAATATACAAAATGGTTTGTTCACTGGATTACAAAGACATTTTTTAACAAGTTATCCTTCCCAATCCTAGTTTCACAATCAGTAGAAAAACAAAATTGGTAGACTATTACATAAAAAAGCTTCTAGCATAAACGTTTAGAAAACCTGGATGAAAGAAAAAGAGTTTATTTTTCAATCTGTAGCATAACTTGATAAAACAGTTGGGGGGTGCTCCCATGTGCTAAACCTCAAGAGAGTTCTGAAAACCAGTGTTGTGTGTGTGTGTGAAATAACCCTGAAGGTCCCCAAGGAGAGAGCATCAGTACTGTTAATCTAGGGTCTTGGGTTTAATGTTCATCTAGGGAGTGAAAAGCAGCATTAGAACTAGACTACTTGAGATCCCAGCAAAAAGTCACACTACTTGAATGGCTGCCCAATCCGTGAATTGGCGGCTTTGGAGTATGGGGGAAAAAATTATCAAATGCCTATGGAGAGACCTGTTCACAACTCCAGCCACACAAGACTAATGGATAAAGCAGACCTTGCTAAAACTTAGTTTGCAATCAAAGTTAATATAACACATGGAAAAAATGTGTCCAAGCAGAGTCAGGAGACATAACAAACAAGATTTGATCCCATAGAATTTTATGTAATAGAATAACTCAGTCTCTGTGTAAGCTGGAGTCGTTTGTGGCAGACCAATATTTCTTACAAGAACAACAGACAAAGCTAGATAATAACAAGAATGACATGTTTGGAGGTATTACTGGAGGACTACAGATCAACAAATCTTGGAGGGTCTGGATTTTGGAGAAATGAGCTGACTTTTTGCAACTGCTTTTTTCCCTGACCCAGTTACTGATTTGGGGAACAGGGCAGAAGGCTAAGAATTTAGATTTGCCTGGACAGGAAAATCCTTCTAGGAATAGAAAAACCATCAGAGAGTTTAGTGGTCTAAAAAGATGGAGAGATAAAATTGGAGACTTGATGATTCTCTAATTGGGGAGATGGTTTTCTCCTCTAGACATTTGCCAAATTATGAAGCTGCAAAAGGGAGGAGGCTGAGGGTCTGCCAAGGAGGGAGCTCAGAAAGGCAGGGCAGAATTTTCTGGAAATCTATTGTGCCAAAGAGACAAGGACTGGAGTTCAGGAATAACCAGGGAGAGGAGTCCCAGGCAATTCCACACCTCCCAGTTGAACGCTCTGTAGGGCCATGACCTACAGCAGAGAAGGAGAGGTAGACCGATCTCTACGAAAACTGCAACCCAGTTTTGAATCTTAGTTTCTGATTGGATTAATGTGCTCAGACCCAACTCTATTTGACTTTCAGAGGAAAGAGTCGATCCTGATGGAGGAATATAATATCATCTGGATCTCTGCAATTTAATATACACCATATCTCACATTCAGTCAAAAATAACTTGACTTTTCCAGCTTTTAGAGGTTGCCCACATGTCTTGGTTTGCGGCCTCACTCCATCTTCAAGATCAGCAACCACATCACTAACATTTGCTTTTGTCTTCACATCTTCTCTGATGCTCTGCCTCCTGTTTTTGTCTTTTAAGGACATTTGTGATTTTATTGGGCCCCCCCAGATAATACAGGATAAGCTTTCTATCTTAAAATCCTTAATCTAATCACACCTACAAAGTCCCTTTTGTGATATTTACAGGATCCAGGGATTAGGACATGGACATTGTTGGGGGACCTTTAGTCTTCCTACTGCAAGAATAAAGTAAAAATTAAAACAGCAATGAGGTTTACTATACAGCAGATTAGAAGATATAGACTTGTTTGTTAGCAGCACGTATTGGTGAAAATGTAATATAAAGGGAACTCCGGCACACCGCTGGTGAACATGTAGAATTTTACAGTCACTTGGGAAACTATTTTGACCTTATCAGTCTTGGTGTCTACCCTAGAGAAAACATCACATGTGCACAAGGAGACGAGTTCAAAATTATTTATTGCAACTCTGTTAGGAATAGTGAAAAAGGGAAATCATTGGTTTCTTAGTGAGAGAAAGAGAAGTACCCATGGTTTATTTGTGCAATGGAATTCTATACCTTAGATATAATCAATATATACAAATATATTATACATTATTAAATAATGTTCATATAAATTATATATGTAAATCTCAGAAACAAAAAATAGGACAAAATCTCTTAGATAAATGCATGGAAAATCCTGGTGGTAGGAAGAGGGAGCCAGCACTCAGCATTAGACTTGTACTGGCAAAAGTGCACGTCCATTTTTAGGTAAACACAAGAATAGCATATCGTTTATGGATACACATCTATAGGAAATAATACTCCAAAACTTCCGATTAAGGTTATCTCAAGAGCATAAACAAGCTGAAATAATACAGGAAGTGAATTAGAGTTATATGTAAAATTTAATTTTTTAAAAATATCTGGAATAATTAGTGAAAAATTAAACTCCGTCTAATCTTCAAGAAAGTTTATGAGTATTTGTTTTATTATTTTTCCAGGTTTTATATTTGCATTTTTAAAATAATTATAGGTATGTATTAATAGCAACTTTCATTCTATTCCATTTCCAAATTATGATGACCCTGAAATTAAAAGAACTAAATTTAAGTGAGGATTGACACAAGAAGACAAATCATATGCATATTCATAAATAGGACATAAAATTGAATACAACAATGCACATGATTAGAAAATAGTCCTAAGAAAGGGAATTGTCAAATCTGTCTGTGTCTCATAATGATAGATGTTTTTATCTGGAACGTTACTCAAACAACGTTCATGGAACTCCTGCAGAAAATTTATCCAGGAACGAAGGCTCAAAAATTTTATTATCTAGCGATGTATTTTTATATCCACCATAAACTAGCAATTTCTCTAGAATGTACTAAAATAATTTAGAAATCTACCCCACTATTTCTGCCCCTTTCATCATTTATAATGAGCATGTTTTGGGGCTGGGGGCGCTGTCAGAGCACCTCCAGCTCTCTCTCATGGCCTCTCATGGCTCTGCTCCTGAGACTGTGCAGAATTTTGTTCTTTTTGTGTGTGAAAGATGATGTGAAGCAAAGTTTATTGACAAACCTAATTCTAGAATATCAATTCCAAGTATATTCCTTGTCACAATCAAATCGCGTCTCACAATACTTGCCTGGATCACTCTTAAGATTTTTGCATCCTTTGAACCTGCCTCACCAGTCACAGTCTCCATTCTAGGATGTAGCTCTAAAGGTGGTTAATTTTTCTCCAAGCTCAAATCTAGAAGTACAAGTCTAGAGCTGGGTGCCAGTTCCTTCTCCCTCACTGCAGGATTTTCTAGTAATTTAGCCGTACATAAACAATGGTAAATGGAGTAACACTCCCAGTTGTGATATACGTTGCTTCCAAAATCTGAGTTACAGCAATGAGTCCTGTACCTTTGCAGAGATTTCCCTGCCAGCCCCAGACTGCTGGACCTCAGAAATTTCAACAAGGAAGCTTCAAGCCCTCTGTTTTCATGGAATCGATCTTCGGTCTTCTGGCATGCATTTTGCATTTGTCTTATCAGGATATCTTGATAACGAAGTTGCTCTTGGTTTGCAATGATGGTGAAAGGGGAAACTTGAGGGGCTTCTACATGGCTCATTGTGTCATATGTGTCACTCAAAGATTTAGGAAGCCACTGTGAAGATTCCATCATTTGCTAAGTATATTTATAACAATAATATACACAGAACTTGGAGAATAGTCAGATAATGCTTTGGGGGTACCAATGAGCTATGCATAAAGTTGAATTGGGTCAAAATCCCCTTCTCTGATTCGCATAAGCCTCCATTCTGACTGATGGACAAAAGTGATGCTCTGGGACGTAAGGATTAGGTCTGTTCAAGTCCATTTCCAACAACACCTGAAAGATCTGATCACTTCTCTTTTCCCAGTGCACAGTTATTCAGGTAAATGGCCACATAGCATTTTGGAAGAGATTTAGGAGGTTTTCTGGCATGTTTGTGAGATTTGCACCTGCTCCTTCCTCAAGAAAGCCTTCTTCTTGTCCAGGGCCTGAGGTCTGTGAGTAGACTAAGGTGTGAGATTTGGTGAACAGTTGTGACTCTTAAGAAAGGTTTCTGTCCACTAGGCTTTTTTGTTGTTGTTATAAAAATCAAGTGAATCCTGGTAAACTTCTCATCTTTTTTGGACCAAGGGATCAATAACCAATTATCCACCACCATAGATCACTGTGAGTCAAACCCTCTAACGAACACACCTATCCCTTTACTGATTTCTATAGCCATGCCCGCGCCTCTGGCATTTAAGGATTGCTGTGAGGAACTGACCGCTCCAGCACCGTTTTGCATTTGAAATGAAGCATCCCATTTCAATGGCAGTGTCTCCTACCAGCATCCCAAGACAGCAGAGAAGAGTTTCCAGAGCACTTTTCAAAGATGATGGGGCTGCTGTCATCAAGGCATTTTTGAAGGGAGTTTTTTTCACAGTCCCCCCGGGAAACCAGCTGGAGGGGGTAGGTGGTAAATGGGTGTGTTGTATGTGAGCAATCCATTTCAAATTCATGTC